GCTGGCAAGTGAGGCAGCGGCTAGCCGGGCCTTTCTCGGGCCTTTCTCCGGGACAACCCCTAAGCTGCGACCTTCAGGTGACCCCAGTGTGGTCAGTGCAGCTGGGGAGGGACCTGAACTGCAGCCTCCCAAACCGGCTCCCTCTCCCTGTGGGCGGGAGACCCCTCGTCCTTCCCTAGCAGAGCAGACAGGTGGCCTCTCGGTCTCCCAGGAGGCCAGCTGGGGCTCAGGGCGGTTAGGCCCCAGAGGTCTCCCCGCCCCCTCTGGAGACATGGAACATGGGTGGGGCCTTTCCTACTGCCCGGAATGCCATCCCAACCCCCACCCCACCTTGCAGGCCCAGACAGGAGACGTGCGACCCTAAGCTTCTGCCCAGCCGCTAGTCCTGTCCCTGGAGAACACAGCCTTGGCCCTGGTGAGGGCTCTGTCCTTGCGCCAGGTGAAGGCAAGGAGGTGCTGGGGAATGGGCGCCAGCCTTGGGAAGGGCAGATGGCCGGCTGGGAGGCACAGGCCTGTCCCTGTCTGCGTGCTTCTCCAGCCTCCTGGGGGGACACCATAGTTTTGTCACAACCGGGTCCTTGAAATCCTGCTGGCCTCAGTCCCACTCCCACCTGACACCACCTGAAAGCCCAGACCCTGGCTTCCCACCCTGCCCTGCCTGTCTCCCACCTGGGCCCTGGCCGGGTGGTGGGTCAGGAGCCTCGGCATCCTCTGGGGACACTTCCCTCCTGAGAAGGGACAGCTCTGCCCACTGTGGCTCTGCCCACCCACTTTACAGGACACTCTCCCTTCCAGCTCTTAGGGCCAGCTTCTCACTTCCCCGCCCCAGACTGGTGGGATGGACACAGACAAGATGAGGGAATGGAGGCCTCTGGCTGGTCTCGTTGCGCCTCCCTGCCTCCACCTCCCACCTGTGCAAGACCACAGCTACTGCCTCTGGCTGGAGGGGCTTCTCAGGGGGCAGTTGGGGACACATGGAAGCCAGGCCTTGGAAGAGAAGCTTCTGAGGCTCGCAGGGGGGCCCTGAGCTGGGGCTCCTGGGAAGTCCAGAGAACTGGGCCAGGGGCCGGGGTGGACAGGAGGGGGCAGCTTCTTTCTCCATGGCCTCACTGCGTCTCCCTCCAGGTGCATGTAATGCCCGGGGGTGAGCTGTCCTGAGCCACTGTGTCCAGACCCTTGCCTGTCCCACTTCGCTCTGCCTGGCTGCTCGCACCGCCCACCATGGAGTCCAGAGGGAAGTCGGCCAGCCCCAAGCCCGACACCAAGGTGCCCCAGGCCACTGCTGAGGCCAAGGCCCCCCCGGCTGCTGATGGGAAAGCCCCCCTGACCAAGCCTGTGAAGAAGGAGGCCCAAGCAGAGAAGCAGGAGCAGCCGGTGGCCCCCGCCCAGGTCCCTGCCAAGAAGACCCCAGCCAAGGCAGACCCTGCCCTTCTCAACAACCACAGCAACCTGAAGCCCACCCCCACGGTCCCAACGGCCCCGAGCAGTCCCGATGCAACCCCGGAGCCCAAGGGCCCTGGGGATGGGGCTGAAGAGGACGAGGCCACCAGTGGGGCCCCTGGGGGCCAAGGTCCCTGGCCTTGCGAGAACTTGACCCCCCTGCTGGTGGCTGGGGGTGTGGCTGTGGCAGCCGTGGCCCTGATTCTTGGTGTGGCCTTCCTGGCCCGGAAAAAATGATGCCTGGTACCCAGGTGGGTCCGGAACCACTTCCTGTACAGACCTGGGGAAGCTAATGCATGCGGCACTCATCCCTATCTATCCACACGCACATACACAGTATATACACACATGTGCACACGTACTCGCCCTCACACACCGCGGGGAACAGACCGGCCCACCGCGCGGAGGATGCCCTGCCCGCCTCAGCGCACTGCAGCACGCCGCCCTCCCGACTCCAGGGCAGTGGGGACCCACTCTGGGGTTCACAGGGCAGGATGGGGGGAGCCACGGCATCGGGCAGCAGGGGCCGAAGGAGGCACGGACGCTGCACCGCCGTCCTGCCTGCTGGGTGTGTCTTTCCGGATGTGTCCTGAGAGGCCCCAGAGGTCGTGGGCCTCCTGCAGGGACATCCCAAGGAGCCTCAGGGCTGGTCTCATGTGCTGGGGGAAAGGGCATGAGGTGAGCAGGCCAGCCTCGCGGGGACACTAACGGTGACATTTCAGCCCCTGCCCTGCTCTTCATGCGCGGCCGGCGGTCTGCCTGGGCCTGATGCCGCGGGTGACTGGAGGTGGCAGCCACCCCCACCTGCTCGCGCCCTGGCAGGTGGAAAGCCCTGCAGGTTGGTCTGGGAGGGCCTGCCCACAGCTCAGCTTTCCCAGCTTATGCCCCAGGGGGCCCTGAGGCGGGGGTCATGGCAATTATGGGGGTGGTTGAGAGCCTGGGAGGAACCCCCCACAGCTGTGCCTGCCAGCCCCCACAGCTGCCCCTCCTGCCTGCGCCCAGCGTCCTCCGTCTAACAAGCGTATAAATGCAATAACGGGTAGAGTAGAGCCACCCCTCGTGCCTGCAGGGAGCCCGCTGTGCAGCACCTCCTGAGCACGTCTGCTCCCGGCGGCCCTTGGGCGGTGGCGGCAGGCAGGCTCCCGGAAGTGGCGGCTGGGCGCTGTGGGGACATGCTGTGCCCTCACCCGGCCTGTGGCCACGGCACCCCGGCCCTGAGTGGAGGCTGAGTCTGAAATAAACTCTGTTGTCTAAAGGCTGGGCTGCTGTCCTCACCTGCACGGGGCTGGGGGAGGCAGGGTGCGGGGAGGGGTGCAGACCCATGCCCCTGGGCTTTCCTGGTGGGAGGGAGCCCAGGTCCCCTTGGCTGGCCCACCTGCCACCTCCATGCCCTTACTCTTGGTGGGGTCTGCCCATGTTCCCACCCAGGCCCACCCCCATCCCAGATGCCGTCCCCTGGCCTTCCTGGGAGCCCTGACCCCAGGCAGACAACGAGGATAGGGTGAACCCCCAGGCCTGAGCTGTGGGCCTCAGTGCTCAGGACATGGACCTCAGGCCCACCTTTCCGGTTCCTTCTCTGGGGTGAGCTCCCCATCCCCAGAGGGGCACAGAGGAGACTTGAGAAGGACGTTTCCTCCCCTGACCACCTCTCATCGAGGCCCCCTGGAGTCCAGTCAGCAGGGCCTGCTGTGGGCGTGGCTGCAAGGGGCGAGCTATGGGAGTACAGGCTGCCCGGCTCCAGAAGCCCCTTCTAGCTTTGCAGTGGGGCCCTGGCCCACCCATGGGCCAGCGAGGCCGGCAGGCAGAGCTCGCCGACCACCACCTCCCAGGCCTTCTGGAGCTGCACGCAGCCATCCTTCCCTCCTGGCCCTCATGCTTCCCCCGGGGCAGCCCCTGTCCATGCACCCGCGTCTTGGGCCCAGACAAATCTGGAGAGCCCTGATGGGAACAAGCACCCAAACAGACCCCGCCCTCACCAGATCACCCCTCTTTAAGCCTCCTCTGGACACCACCTGTGCCTGCAGCCTCTCCTGAGGCCAGGAGGCCTGGGCCCAGCCAGACACATGGGCTGTGGAGACACTGCCCTCACCTCCAGCTCCAGGCCACCTACCCCGGCCAGGGCACGTGCCAGGCCTGCCCCTCTGCTTGGTCAAGTACACTCCCCTCCTGTCCTCCAGGCCCCTCTCCTCGCCTCCCTAATCTGTTCTTGGGCCTTAAAACAAACACTTCATGGCATGTCCTGTGCAGCCAAGGGGGTCTGTCGCCATGGGGCTGACCGGAGGTGGCAGTCACACGCCACCCCCCCCTTCACTGGTGCCCTGGTGGGTAGGAGGACCTGGAGGGTGGTCTTGGGAGTGACTCCCCACAGCTCAACTTTTCCAGCTTATGCCCCAGAGGACACTGAGGTGGGAGTCATGGCAATTATGGGGGGTGGCTGGGAGCCTAGGAGGGGCCCCACCCTGCAGCCGGGCCTGCCAATTCCCCATAGCCTGTCCTCTTCTGCCTGCACCCAGTGGGCAGACAGGATTTCTCACTTTCCCTCTCTCTGTCTCTCTCCGGGGAGAGCATGTGGCTATAGCAAAAACATATTTTTTAAAAATCTCTTTTAAAAAGTCGCTCGAGGGCATATGGAGAGATACAGAGCAAAGGAGAGAGAAAGCCGTCCCCAGGCGCCACGGCCATGCCGCCATCCCTGCTCCTCCATTTCTTCCGCCCTTAAGGATTTTGGACACACATGCGCATGTGCCCGGCAGGGTTTTCAAGCCACCTGGTCTAGGACTCAAATCGTGCAGCTGGCCTACGCGAGATCCAGGCGCCTTAACCACCACACCACCTGCTGGCCCGAACCTGCCCTGCGCTAGTCTGTAGTCAGCTCACCCACGCTGCGACACCCCACAAGCGGGGCTACCTCATCTTATTGGCCAATTCTGCTAAAGGCCATTTAGGTTGTTCCACAATTTTTGCAACTTTAGACAAATCAGGAATGAAAATTATTTTTTTCTTGGGGGGCGTGGTGTTTGCCATAGGGCGCATGCACTTGCTGGAGAGACAGAGACAGAGACAGTGAGAGGGAAAGGCAGCAATCATGCCCCACCCCAGAGGCCATGGCTGCGTGCAATCCCTTCTCCGTTCTCCTCCAGGGATTTTGGGCACGCGTGCATATGTACCTGACATGATTTTCAAGCCTCTGGGACCAAAACCGTGGCGGACCGAGTGGGAGTCCAGAGCCATAACCACTACGCCATCTGCTGGTCATGGACTGAAAATTCCTACAAAGCCGCTTTTGAATTTGTAGCTGCGTGTTTTGGTGAAACACACGTGCTGTGGCCCAGCCTCGCGGCAGTTTGTAGCACACTGACCTGCAGTGCTGGACCCCACAGGGCGGTTGGCGCAAACTCTGGTCCCTGGCCCAGAGACCTGAACCTCTCCAAGTGTACACACATGCCCGAGGGCCTGAGGAGTTGGAGGGCTCAGGACGAGGCCAGTGGCATGACGAGACTGCAAAGGGTGTGTCTGCTTAGCCACCACACCAACGCTGGCCTCTTAACCATCCATTCATTTATCTATTTCTTGGAGAGGTTTTCACTGTAGGGCGCGCGCTCGCCAGAAAGACAGAGAGAGACAGGGAGACAGAAAGCGAGAAATCACCCCCCAGGGAGGATGGC